TTATTTTTCATAAATTCTGTCAATTCTTCGACAGCACCACTTTATATTAAGCCATAACTCTCTAGGAAAAGTTGAAGTCAAATCAGCAATTAATGGTAACAAAATGACAGTAAATATTTTTCGCATAAATACTGAACTATCTACTAAAAATGAATTTCCTAATGAAATAACTCCTTCTGGCTTGAGCTTAGAACGACAGTGGTACCTGTATGATGAAGTAAGGCAACATGTTCAAAATCATTCTAAACGTGATATTTATTATTCAAAGCCACAACAGCCCAAACCAATAAAGTCTCATAAATAGTAGCAATTTTTTATCTAATTTTATGGTCAGCAACATGGTTAGATACATATGCAGTTGCATTCACCATCATATACAATTTTTTTTTAAAGATTATATGCAGTTAGAAGAAAATGAACATAAGATATATGGATTAACTTAAAACATAACTACCAACAAATACATTGTGCTTGATAAATTTTGTTCCAAAGAAACTAAGGAAATGGCATATGTGAATACTGTTAATAATTTAATATCGCTGAGAAAAATTCAAGGACAGACGAATGAAAAAAAATTCAACTTGAAGTCATAAAATATAGTTAGAGATTTTGAGTAGAAGTGTTTAGAAGGAAAAAAAATTTGTATACTGTATAACTATTGTAACTGTAGATTAGAGTTAAGTGTAGTATACTTATAGTTTGGACGTTATATAACACGAGAATATTAACCAAAAATTAGGGCAATATTAATAAAGAGAATACCCAATAGCTTCATTACTTTTGAAAATTCATGGTAACTTAAAATCGATCCGATCTATATTCAAAAGTTCTATTATAATTGTGTGATGATGAAAAATTTAATACCAAACTTATATTTTTTTAAGAAAAAAGATCCAAATAATAGTCTTTAGCACTCAACCTTTATATTCCATTATGAAGATAAAAGCAATGTGTTTTAACGTACGGAAAAGCTTGATAGCCATTACCGTAGGTTTCCAAAAATAAGCATTTCATTTTATGATAATAAGCTTATAGCAAAAAAGTGAGCTTATTTCTGGAAAGTTACGGTATTTTAAATAGAATTCAAGTGCCTCGAAAAATATAGGCATGACTGGTCATATGATTGGAACAATGCCGCAAGCCAAAGGTGCCAGAAAATTCAATTAAAGGATTTTAAGTTCGCAGAATACAATGTAAATAATTTGAGCTGAGTAATTTGAACACGATGATATGCTCCTGGGAAAATTAGCAAGTGAGATTGCACCGGGTATCATCATAACAGTAGAACAAGTGAGAATCAACATCAGCAATTGGTTTCCCACCTGCTTGAACTAGGAGACTCAGTGTATGGTAGGAAGAGTTGAGTTGAAAAAAAGAGACGGTTATAATGCTTGGTTGTGTTGAAAGGGGAAGAGTATCGCAAGTAAGTCATTTGTTGCTTCTTTAAATACCGATTGTGATCAGTGGCTTTCAGTTACATCACTTTATTCTCGAAATTCCTGAGGTCTGACATCCCAGACTCTTGTCAACATGCATTAAATTCTTCATTTTTATTTGAAATAATGTATTTAAATTTTTTAAAAAAAAAAAAAGAAAAGATGCGTAACATGTATGGCAAATGAAATCGGTTCTAAGAAAATTTTGCCTATAGAATAAAATTACACACTGCGGATTTCAAATATACCGCATACATACAGTACCCGGGTTTATTCAAGAATTCTATTTTTAATATTGGATAGTACTCATAGAATATATTAAGGATAGTGAATCAATATAGATATACCCAGGTCTTATTCAAGAAACAGGTTGGTAATGACGGTAAGTAATACTTGGGTCTTGGGGATAATTATTGAATAATTAAAAGACGCATTTAAAAGGGGATTTTTAGGCAGCTATTTTTTTTCAATACTGTAAGCAGTGGCATATGATAGATTTTAAACACTGAATGTGATTCCTTTTGTTTAACAAGGCTTGTTCTTGCAAAAATAGCTAGCCAGATAAAATTCGTGTCTTCAATTTTTTGCTTATATTTAAGGTGCAATACGTATATACGAAAAGTTGGAGTATCCTGTTCAGACCAAATCTTGGTAATATGCATTTAGAGAACTATAAGAAAAATTGCATTTAAAGAAGTTAAGCATAAATTTGGAGTATAGTTTAAACGTGAATTTGTGGGGGTATATATTTAGAAAAAAAATTTTAATGATTTGATGAGGGTCGAAATCAGGTTCAGAATTAGGGGTAGGATCATTTCGAAATTAAGGTTGGAGTTGTTTATTTTGAAGATCTGATTTGTATAATATTACAAAAAAGCGCAATTATCTCAAAATTAGATTTTTGTAGATTTGCTTGATTTCTATTGACGGCCGCCCATATGACCAGAATGCTGATATGCAAATCCATATAGACGATGTTCATAGAATCACTCCATGTTTTTAATAACAAAATAAAAGACTTGAACTGTATTATACACCTTAGTTCTTGCAAAGATAATGTCTTTAAGCAAACCAAAGCCCCATTTAATGTAATTATTTGTATAGTTACCATGCAATAATAAATTTAATCGAAAACAATGTGCCTAATATTGTCATCGATTCCAAAGATGTTTATAATGGTTTGCAAGTAATAGATATTGCTGATAAAATCTAACTTGCAACTCTTGATAATAATTATTTATATCATTTTCAGTACAAGCATATAAAATCTTTTTTTTTTTTTTTTCCTCGCAATATCACGAACAGGTGAATTTTTATTAGGTATTTAAGTAGTATATTTACCACCACCTACAATTACGCCAGCCTATAACCTCGTGCTGCTACATTTAAAGACCATTCAGATCGACATGTGCTATACTACTTGTGCCCTGATTCTATAGATAATTCAATAAGGTTCTCATACTTACCAGGTTACTATAAGGAGGGTGTAGTATATACTCCTAATCTTTCTATGTCCTACACATTTCCAGACTAGGCCTTTTCGGTAACTTATGCCGAGTCCAAGAACAAATACTTCTGAGCCGAAGCTGCTACAGTTACCTACTACTGCCCTTGTAGAGTTTACCCAAACCCCAGTACCTACTTTATGAACTTCCTCCCATATCTCCAAAAGCCCAAACTCCCAATCTTACAGCTTGGAAGGGCAGAACTCTTCTTTCGTTTTTTTCTGTTGTGGTATAGTGTTTTGCCAAACACCTCGGTCCTGTCTGGTTTTCCAGTATCTGGTTGATCATCCTTTATATAGTAACTGTCGAAGATCTGTGCTACCTCTCTACTCGGATCTTGCCAAGCAGACTCCTGTACCCTGTAAATTCACTAGATTTATCTGGTAGTTTCACTCGGGTTTTGTGTAACTCATACATCACACTACATATTCCACTACCTCCCAGTACAAGCTGGTATGACCACCATTACAGGTTCTACAACCCAATAGAATACAGTCTTTCAAATGCATTTTCTATAATTCAAATTTTTCATTGCCGATGAGATTCAAACTCTAGTCTTGCTGCTTGGGGGTGCGACAACTTGCTAACTTCACTAAGTCGCCACACCCTTTATAGAATCTTTTTCATTTGATTCATTATAATGATTTGATAATCTTTATTAATGCCATGCTTTGCATTGTAAAGCCAATGCCAAAATGCTTGCAATACATGAAATATATATAGAAGTAAGTTAAATTGTGGTCAACAAAACTTTAACACATTTCGCTCTGCAGTGGAATTATCAGTTAAAAATTTTTGAAAGCCAACATTGCATTTACAGCCAAAAAATACATGCTCAGAAAAAATTAATTTTAAAATATTAATTGCTTCTTTAATTGTTATTTCAAGTTCATCAGATGTAATAAACAATCCTAATGGCAATGCATCTGCTATACAACTAGTATATATAAGTGTTATAGATATATTTAGTGGTTCAAATGACACAAATGCGTCTACAAAAAAATTTCTTCAGTTTCGCGAATTTTTTCATATACTCTACTCATTAATCCTGTTACAATATATAAAATAAATACCTTTTCCATTCGTGAATTATATTCTTGAAGAATTGCTTATCTATAACCAGATTCATTATACTTTGAAACCTCCTTAGCTAAGTGTTGAAACATTAATACACCATTTTGCTTACCAAGCTGAGCATTATGATATTGTTCAAAAAGATGCTTAATATAGGTATAATCTGAATTAATTGCATGATCAGCAAGTGTTTCAACTAGGCTTTCATTTAATGAAGCTGAAAGATATAACTCATCTTCATAAGTATACAGAGTGGAGGCAGGTGAGTGGTCATTGTGAAATATTTATATAAACTTATTGTATATTTCTTCATTTATACATTTAAAACTAAAAGATTCAGCTTAATTAATAACATGGTTATATTTGAAAGAAATATTAATCTTCAAAGGATGGCTATTAATTAAGCATTAATATTTTAACTGCAGACACAAGGTTGCTAAACAATCTGTATTTCTGTTATGTACAAATTCTAAGTACTTTCTTCTAGAATCATTCTGTTTTCTTCTAACAATTTAACTATAGATGCAATGTCTTGACTCTCGAAAAATAACCTGTTTTCCTTTAACTTCGTGTTTCTTTGTTTGTGGCATAATCATCTTTGAGTGTTTTTCAAAAGTTGGAAACCATGTTTTTATATCTTTAATAGTTGATACATTAACAAATGTATCAACTTCAAACTGCTAAATTTCAAAACCTTCGTTTGTATAATATAATGGTAATTTTATAATACATTTCATCATATAACTATAGTTTGAAGAGAAAATCGCTTGCAGAAAATCTGGCAATAAATTTCAAGAAAAAATCTAAAAAAAAATATGCATACATTTTTTATTATTATTGTTATTATATTGTAAAAAAAATTTGTATTGCATATTTAATATTTAATTTACTTTGCAAGAAATTTCATCTTGGATTGATTCAAATGACTTAACGTCTGATTCAGTACAATTGATATTTATAAACTATAAAAATAAAAATACAATGTTTAGACAATATTAATTAGTAATAAAACAAAAGCAAGTATAACTTTACTTACTTCGGTATTCTTACTCATTTCTTCATCCACTTCTGCACACAAATCCACTTCAATACCTTTATCAACATCTTCATTTACTCATCTACTTTGGCATCTTTTTCACAATATTATTAATTCTCATTACTTTATTCACAACATTATCAATTTCTATACCTTTATCCACTCTAGCATCTTCATTTATTTGCGTTTTATATGTATTGTTCAGATAATTTGAAAACGTATCTCTTGTATAATTCATAAATAGATTCAATATATTGTTTATGAATAAGTTTTCAATAGGATATGTAAATGAGTTTTCTATAGGATATGTGAATGAATTTTCCATAGGATATGTAAATGAATTTTCCATAAGATATGCAATTGAATTCTCAATATTATATGTGAATGTATTTTTCATGTTATCAGTAAATGTATTTTCCATATGATTTGCGAAAGTATTTTCCATATAATTTGCGAAAGTATGTTCTATATGATTTGAAAAAATATTTTTCATATGATCTGAAAAAGTATTTTTCATATTATTTGTGAAAGTATTTTCCATACAATTTATAAATATATTTTCCCTTCTGCAATTTGCAAATGTATCTTCAACCGTATGATTGATGAATTCAAAAATCATGCTTCATAAACATTAAGGTTAATTTCTGTTATTTTGAAGTAATGTCAATTATATATTATATAAGTTATTATTTTAACAAAAGTTCTGATCCATTAATTGCAATAATTACTTACATAAATTTGGATCTTTTTGATTCCTAATGTTTCCTAACTATATAGTTTTTTGTTCGCACCTTTATTTTATATTTTTTTTAATATATTTTTTATTTTTTTTATTTTTTTATTTATTTTAATTTGATTTCTTAATTATCTAACATCCCAACTAGTTAAATCACACTCGTTTTATTGCCACTATCTAATATCCAAACCACAATTCACATTTTAAAGGTAATATGTATGTTTTTTAATTCGCTTAAAGGTTGGTATTTTTTATTTTATGCACCTGCTTTTTATTCTACTACTCCTCTTCACCTTTCTAATGCTAAGCCTCTCCTTTATCACCA